TAAATCAGTAAGCACTTACCCAGGTAAACGTTTGGTAAATGACCCGTTATACAGGATAGAAAAAGGACACATTATATATAAACTTGTTCAATGAAAGAGAGAGAGAGAGAGAGAGAGAGAGAGAGAGAGAGAGAGAGATTACTAAATACTTACCCGATATGTGTGGATCGGATAACTTTCCTCACCTCATGCACATGGCAAGGGCTGAAAATCTTACCCGATAAGAGCGATGAAAAAAATAGAGAGACTTACCATGTAAGTGTTGGTGAGAACTCTTACCCGGGTAAATACCGTTTTAATATACTACAATCTTATCTGGTAAAATAGATTATAGTGTTAACTCCTACCCATAAGCGCTTACCGGGTAAGTATTTGGGTAAACGACCCCTTAGAGTTGGAGATTGCTCCAATTATATGTAACAAAATGAATGAAAGCTCATAACTGCTTTTAGCATCTGTTAAATGCTTATTTTGGGTAATATGGCATACTCTGTATATGATTCGTATTTTCGAATATTGCCATAGTTTATCGTTATAAGAATGGATCGATCATTGGTATAAGTGTACGGATTAGCTTTTATTAGATTGTACATTTTGCTATCTTGGTTATTTTGATCATACCCAAAGTTATTATAAATTAATATTTCCAAGCGTATATATAAAGAATATCCAAGCGAATCAAAAAGTCGATTACAAATATTTTGGCACGTATTCCGCTAAAGCTTCATAAAGAATACAATTCGAACATGTGGCACGGAAAATTTTAGAGATCGAAAATTTATCTATGGCATTTGCCGCTACGAAGAATTTATTTTATTCAGAAAAATGCCACAAAGAATTCAATGGATCATCGCAATGTTGATAAACATTTGTAATGAGACCAAAGGGTTTTTAGCCTAGCGATATCGTAATCTTTGGTTTCCTAAGAAGTCAGGGGTTCAAACATCACCAAAGATAAGAAAGATGTGTAAGTTTATTTGTTACATTTGTCGTATATAAATAGTATATACTTAAAAAAAATTTGCAATGAGAATCTAGAATTCATATTTGTTTATAATTTTTTTACAAAAAGTAATTAATCTTTTATAAAAATAAAAAGGTTCGAAACAATTTTAACTAAATTAAAATTGTGTAAAATATTTGAAGAAAAATCAAAAAATTTAAACGTACATGGAAGGAAGGCATCAAAATGTTTTAGAGTAAACTATAAGGGTATTCGTGCAATGCAGCAAGATACATCTTGATTTTAATATTTTATTTTATTTTTTATCTCAGTCAATGTTATAATATGATCTTATGTGATTTTGAAAAAACGATAATGTTTTTATTTT